TTAGGGTTGAAGCTAAACTCTGCAGGGCACCGGCCCTCCAGGACCAAGTTTGGGCACCCCTGGTCTAAACAGACAAATCTCATGAGAAAATCTGACTAAATCATGCCAAACATTCATGCTGGTGTGAACAGCTTTTAACATTGTAACACTATCTGTAACCCTTTATGTGTCTGTCCTAATGGTGCATGCCGCTTGTGTTGAGAGGTGCGTTGAATCCCTGGTGAAAGTCGTGTGAAAGGACCTTTACTTTCACTTTATCTTTATTTAGCTCTCTTTTTCTCCTGGACTTTCAGGCCAATAATCTGGTGTTTCACACAGCTGTGGAGCACTTCAGAAAGAGCAAGAATTCTGCAGAGGGAGGCGCAAACAGCAAGCAGCTAAATGGAAGAGGCTCCCTGCCCCATATTATCATCTCCAATGTAGAGCATGACTCCATCAATCTCACAGCTAAACACTTGTTAAAAGAGGGCAAAGCAGGTTAGCAGGCCTGGGTTTTATGTCTAAAACTTTAAATGGAGGCATTGTTCTCCAAAGGTTTAGCTTGAGGAAGTGGGCATCACTTCATTGTACTCCTGTAACCGGGAATATTGCATCCAAAACTTGTCTATTGCTATCTGTTTTAAAATCTGAATATGACCAAAGATCTTTGTGCTCTGATTTGACCTGATTGAATTCTCGTTGTAGATGTCACATTTGTGCCCGTTTTCAAGGTTACGGCACGGGTGGAGGTTGAGGATGTCATTGCAGCGATTCGTCCCACCACCTCCTTGGTGTCGATCATGCTGGCCAATAATGAGACAGGCATCATTATGGTGAGAATGTTGCCTTGACAACAGTCCCAGTGATGTATTGGACTATTTCATATAGTTAAACAATCACACAACTGTGTTTTGGCCATTGGGACGAGGCTTAATTGCGAGCGTGATATTGCTTTTATACAACATTTCATAAACATGATGTTAATAAAGATTAACTTACATTGTAGACACAGTATGGCTATTTAACTTTTGCTCTGCCAATAAAAATACAGTCGTTTTTTCGGCCATGATTTAGCATAAACACTTAAAGTAACCAATGGGATTCTCCTTTCAACAGCCAATTAAGGATATTTGTCAGAGGGTGAGGGAAGTAAACAAACAGAGGGCAGCATCAGCTCCCAAAATCCTCCTGCACACCGATGCAGCACAGGCTATTGGAAAGATACGAGTGGATGCACATGAGCTTGGAGTAGACTATATTACCATTGTAGGACACAAGGTAAGTAACAAGAGATGCTGTTGATATATCATCTCTCTCTAAGCAAAGAAAATTAGAGATGGCAATCCTGTTAATGCTGTGTTTCAGTTTTATGGCCCTCGAATTGGCGCTTTGTTTGTGAATGATCCTGGAACCACAACCCCGGTTTACCCTCTGTTTTTTGGAGGAGGACAAGAGCGCAACTTCAGACCAGGGTATGACATGGTTTATTGTGTGATGGGGTTTCATGTATAGGTGATGAATTATTGAACAGAATTAAAACAAGTATGTTACTGACTCTGAAATCAATACTGTTGTTATCTCTTTATTTCTCAGAACTGAGAATACAGCAATGATAGCCGGTCTGGGAAAGGTAAAACCCACTTTGTATCATAAGTGTCATTTATTTCTTACCTAATTTTTAGAATAAGTTGACTGTTTGGACATGTAACATGGGTAACTAGATTTATTTATTATTTATGGTAGTAAGGTGACTGTTTGTACATGTATAACAGTAAAAAAATAATTATTTTCAGTGCTATGTTGCCTATGCTTGTACATGCAAATTTGTTTTACATAATTTTTTTTTTTTGGGAAAAGGCTGCAGAATTGGTAAGTTCAAATCTAGCAGAGTATGAAGCCCATTTCCTGGACGTCCGATGTTATCTGGAGCAGAAGCTGCTTGTAAGTCCTATTTCTGCCTTATAGCTGACTGGTACAAAT